GAGGGTGCTTGTAAGTAAGGGAGCTCCCTGGGCCTCCTGTCCGCTTGCAGTAGTGAAATAGCCGTCACAAACGTCAAAGGACATGTGGCCTGCCTGATTTAAAAAAAAAAAAAAAAAAGTAAACTTCTACAGATCTGGGCTGGATGCCCAATCTAGGCACCAGGAGGGGCACAGCAGAGCCCGGAGCAAGTCATCCAGGGCCAGAGTTTGAGTTTAGGTCAGGCAGTCCCGGAGCCCAGCCCAGCTCTGTAGGTTACCATTTGGTTTCTCTGAGCCTCAGTTTCCTGTCTGCAGGGCAGAGGAGGTGATGGTGCTGCCCTCTCTGGGCCGTTAGGAGAATTACAGGGACCGTGCTCGTGCAGCGCCACTCAGGGGTCAATCTAACTCCACTCACTCTCCAACCCTACGTCCTCACCCGGCTTCGTTTCATACAGTTTAGCCAGTTTTTTGAGCTCCCTCTCCGTCCCCCCAACTTCGACTTCCCAAAAGCGGAATCCTTTTTGTCATAGGCAACCTGCCAGGGAGCGCATCCAAGAGGTCCGAAGGCCGGTAACCCCTGGTTCCGGATAGGGCCCCGAGGCCCTTGGAGTACACGTGCGGCCCAGGATCCCCGCGTGGGGAATCGGCGGAGAGGCGGGATTGGGCTTGCGCTTCTCTGCTGCAAATGCGGCGGCTCCGTGGACCGGGAAAGGAGAGGCGGGCGGGAGGGGGCTCCGGGGATAACCCGGGCCTCTGCGCGGGAGGAGGGAGCCCGCGGATGCAGGTGCAAGGACTCGCCGCCAGGTGGCGCCAAGGCCGGCTCCGGCAGAAGCCCCGCCTGCCTGCGGCGTCCTGGCTTTTCCAAGCCCATCCGCTCCGCATCTCCATCGCTGTGTCTCCAGTGTACTTCCTGCTGCCTCTTGCCTTGGGCTTGGGTACCAGGTTCTTGGCACAGCTCGGAGGCAGGGGGTTACCCCCTAAAACTGGAGTCCTGCCTGTCTCACCGAGATAGGGAAGGGAGAATTGGATGACTTGACCCATCATCAAGCTGTGTGACTTTAGTCCTGTCATTCACCCTTTCTGGGCCTCCTGACTTTGTTTTTACTGTTTACAAAGCACTTTATTCTGATTTCTGGAAGCTGGATTTGACCCCATGTTATAGACAGAACTGTGACCAGTGCAGGGTTGCATTGTGGGGGTGGGAGAAACTGAACCATGTGATCTGAGAGCCTGAGAGCTGCTCTCTGCAGGACCCAATGAGTGATAGGTAGTTGGACAGTCTCCACCGGCATGGACCTCACTGAAGCTCAGTTCCACATGTGTGACAAGGGGTGACAGTAGCACCTCACACTTGGGGTGGTCCTGCACATTTAAGAAAGTAACAGGCATAAAGAGCCTGGTAGCCAGGACAACTCCGTGAGACAATGACATCTCTACTATCTTCCCTCAGCCTAGGGACGCAGGTGGGAGGCTGGCTTTGTCATGTCCCCCCAGGAGGGTCTTGTGTCCTTGACCTTCCTAGTGTCACCCAGGCTCTGCATCTTTCTCTTCTCTGAGCTTTGGAAAGCAATGGAGACGGGGACTCATTCCCCCTCAAGGCTTTGCTAGTGGCCCAGAGACACCCAGTGAGAAGCCCAGTGGCCCAGCTCAGAGCTTCCATGGGGTAGGAGGAGATGGATTTTGGGTTCATGGAATCCTCTGAGGGCCTTGGTCTCAGATGGGATCTTGTGACAGTGGGAAAGTTTTTCGACCCTGAAACCTAGCAGGAGTGCCACTAGCTGGGTCACCCTGGTCAAGTCGCTGTACCTCTTTGTGTACTGGTTTCCATCCCTATAAAATGCAGCACCGGAACTGGGGTTCTGGATTCTACTTGCCAATCACTTATTGAAAGAGCACAGCAGTCCTTCCTGTGAGGAACAAATTGAGAGGCAGAAGCTATGAGAGAGTGCTGAGATGTACCCAAGGTCACCCAGGAATGACTGAGCAGCATAATCAAAACTGGGACCCAGAGCCATGCTCTCCCCTCTGAACCTGAGTCTGAATTCTCAGTTGAAGTGTGGTCTCACTTGGGGAGCCATGGTGGCACAGGGCTCTGTCCTGAGTGCTCCCGGGGCAGTCCCGAGACAGGGATGGCTTTAGAAACCCCCAGGGTTTGTGCGGCCTGGCCACAGCCAGCCTGGTCCTTCCTAAAGTGGAGACGAGATGAGAGAAGATGAATTTCCAGACCCATGCTATTCTGTGGCCCCGGGTGGGACAGTGACATGCAGGAGATGACAGCTGCTCCCTCCCACTGTGGCTTCTAGAGAGGATATGGAGCCTCCAGTATGCAAGGACCTCAAGGTCATTGTACCCAGTTCCCTGCCTCCACAGAGAAGTTTGAGGGGGAAATGCTGACCACCCTGCTCCCCAGGGAACAGCCCGTACAGGCCCCTCCTTCAGACGTGGAGTCCAGAGTCAGGAGGAAATCAATGTCCCAATACTGACGCCACGGCTGCCCACCCATCTGCCTGTCCTCGGGGCCAAACCAAGCAGTCCCGGTGGACCTCCCTCTGCAGAGTGGGAGGGCACCAATCAATCTGGCTGTGTACCTGTGGGCAGGTCTCTTTGCCTCTCTGAGCCAGTTTCCTCATGTGAAAACTGGGCATGACATTGACTTTTTAGAGCTCCCAAGAGAATGAATGAAAAGGGGTTACATCTAGGAAAGAGGACCTTCTCTCCCCCACCTCAACTGACCCCAGAGAAGATTCCTATAGCCCCCAACACTGGCCTCTTTGCCTGAAACCTTGTGGTCACAGGAGGGAGCAGCTGTGTCGTGGGCATTACTCCAGCCAGATGTGTGTACTCTTATTTAATCTTCACACTGGGAGGTAAGAATTAGTCCTCCCTTTTTCACAGATGGAGAAACTGAGTCACAGAGAACTGAGTCCTTTCTTTCCTGCTATCTGGATGTAGCCAAGGGGTAGAAATTAGGAAGAGACCTTGGGGTTGGGGAGACACAGGCTAGTCCAGGGCCAGTTGTGGGTAGGTATTGTCCTTAGCACAGGGTTCCAGGAGTGAACAAGACAGACTCAGTCCTGCCCCTCAGAGCTCATGGCAGGAAGGGCAGGAACACAGACAGGAAACAGACTCAGTTCCCAAACACTGACCTCAGTTCGCCCTTGTGCAGTGCTGCTCAGCGGGGGCTGCTGTGTAGGGGTGTAGTGGGAGGGCGGAGGAGAGGCTGACCTGGTCTGGGGGCTCAGACAAGGCCCAGAGAAGGTCTGAAGGATGAGTAGGAGCCAAGGAGATGATCAGGGTACAGATCTGGGTCTGGAAACCAGTTCAGTTATCCAGGAGTGGAGAGGGGCAGGGGCCAGTTTGTGGAGATGAGAATGGATTTTAAACTCCATTTGAACCACACTAGGAAGTCACTGAGGGTGTTAAGCAGGGAGTGGGGGGGGGGGGTCAGATTCAGTGTAGAGATGTTTGGTGCCCCTCTGCACAGCCTGCAGCAGGACAGCACCCTGTTCTAGGGAGAAGGCGGCTAATTCTGGATCAAAAGAGCAGGGCCCACTGGACTTAATAAATTCAATGGAAGGGGGAGAGGAAGGAGGCTACAGTGACCTCTGGTGTAGTTGGTCTGGGGAGTGCCCTTCACACAGTGGGCAATGGGGAAGGGGCAGGATAGGGGGACGCTAATGGGCCAGCATCACTGGGCCCAGGGTGACTTCCCGGGAGGTTTCTGGCTGCCCAAAGTGAGGCTGGGCTTGTGGGCTCAGGCTAGAGGAGCCCCAACATTGGAGAGGAGAGGGGGCCTGGGAGGGGGAAAGTTTGAAGGGGCAGGCAGGAGAAGCAAGTGGTAAATGCCAGGGCAGGTGGAGTAGCAAGGACAAGGACTGGTCTTCACAGTTGGTGTCCCCAGGAAGATCAGTGAGCGCGGAAAAGGACCTGTGCTGGGTGGGCTGCTGAGGGAGGGTGGAGGCCGGGATGTGGTGAGTCGGTGTGTGCAGGGTGGATGACGTGCAGGGTCGATGAGGGGGTCTCGAGCGAGGGGATGGCGGGAGGCAGAAGGCGGGAGGCAGCAGGAAGAAGGCCGCCGCCTCGGTGGAGTGCAAGCAACAGCCCAGGCTCAGAGCTGAGGGTGTTCTCGACTCAGCTCAGGCCGCCGGAGGTTTCGGTCCCACGTGGGCTGCAGGGAGGCGACTGCGGCTTCACTCTTGGACCGCAGGGGTGCAGCCCCACCTACTGCGGCCTCCTCAGAACGCTGGTATGTCCAGGCAAGGTCCACCGGAGGAAGCTCCGCTCCCAGGGGCGGCCGCGGTCATTCCCGGGGTGCCTGGTCCCCGGGGGCTGCGAGAGGAGCCGACGCCATTCCCAGTCCCCGTGGCCGAGCCAGAGAGCGGGAGCCTGTGTTCGAGGCCTAGCTGTGCCGTGCGGCTCCAGGACCCCGCTTGGCCATGCGGTGGGAGGTGGGGTGGCCCAGGCCGGCGACTTCCTCCACGTCCCCCTCCCTGCCCCGGGCGTGCAGCCGGGTCTCATTACCTCCCATCCTCCCCGCTTCGCGCCCCGCGTGCCGGGAGGGTCTCCGCGGCTGGGGGAGGGGTGGATTCTAATCAATCCCAGGCCGGAAATTCCTCCCGAGGGGCCCGGCCGGGCTGCGGGAGTGAGGGGGGCCCCCGGCGCAGAACCTGGCAAACCGCCCGCACCCCCCTCCTCTGAGCCCGCCCCCCCCACCCCGCATCATGGAAACTGGGCCTCCAGCCGACCCCCGCGCTCCGCTCCACATTCTTGCCTTCGGGGGCGGGCGGGGCACGACGGCCGGGCCGCCCCCTTCAGGCGGGAGCTCCGCGGCCGCTCAGTGCCCTCCTCCTGCTTTGGGACAAGCACTGCGCCCCCCACCCCACAACTCCTGATCGTGCGCATCTTCTTAGGGAGTTAGGAAGCGGGGCAGGATCGCGACACCCCACTCGATTCCCTCAGCTCTGAGGAACGGGCTCCTCTTTATTGACCCCCCCCCCGCCCCACACACACTTGTGGTTACTCTTCGTGGGGCGCTCGCGGGGAGATCCAGGGCTGAGCCGGGGTTGAAAGCCCCGTCCTCACTGCCGGAGTTTCGCCCTTCAGCATCTCGTGAATCAGACACCATTATGCCCATTTCACAGGTGAAGGCTGTGAGGTTCGGACAGAGGAAGGGCTGGTGGAGCAGGAACTCGGGCCGCCTCCCGGGGCAGCTCCCCGGACCGCGCTGAGCACCAGTGGGCGCCCGGACTGGGTGGCTCTGGGAGGCGCGGGAGGGAGTGCGGCCTTCGAGTCCTGTCCGCTGCGGAGCTGGGCAGGGGTCTCTCTGGGTCTCAGTTTCCCCACCTGGGAAGAGAGCGCCCTCCTGGGACTTTGCGATCGGCGTAAGCGGGGGGCCAGGGCCCCCGAACTTCCGAGTCACCAGGCGCGCACACGGCGCTTACCTGCGACCCTCAGACCTGAGTTGCCGCTTTCTTCTAGCGGCGGCCGCTGGCGGGGCGCTGGCCAGATTGTTCCCTGGGCTCCCGGAGGGCGGGGCCGGGGCGGTGTGGGGCGGGGCCGGGGGCGGGACCCGGGGCCCAGATTCCGTAGAGACCCGGGTGCGCGGACTCCGACCGGGACCCACCCGGGCGCTGCGGTGCCAGGTGAGCAAACTTAGGGTCCTAGGGTTCGTCCCCCCCTTTCCTCAACTTTTTGTTTGGCCCTTCTTTCCGGAAAGGCCCCTGGGGGGAGGCGGGAGCTGGGTCTCCCTTTCCCCCCCGGACCCGAGTGTGGACAAGGGCGGAGGCTGGATCCCAGAGTGCCGGGGACCTGGTTCTGAGCAACTTCCCGCGCGCTGGGACCTTCGGACTTGTCTCCTAGTTTCCACCTCCCTGGGGTCCCCAGTGTCGATTCACGCCCTCCAGAGCCTCGGGGTCTCTGAGCATGTCCCCTTCTCTCTGCACGCCTCTGCCTCCTTTCCCGCAGGGACGCGCTGTGGCTCAGGGGTGACCCTTCTGGAGTTGCGACTGAGGCGCCAGGACTGGCCTGGGGCAGGGTGGTCACTTCTCCCTTTTAGGGCTGGCGAAAGGGCTCCACACTCAGAGACAACGGGCCTCGCCTCCTGCCAGGACGCTCCCGTGGCTGTGTGAAGTGCCCAGCGCGGGGCTAGGTCTGGGGGCGTCAGATCCTGGTGGAGCCCCCGCCTTGTGTGGCGGTGTGACTCCGGCAGGCTCCTCTCTGGGCCGCAGTTGCCATCTGTGAAAAGCAAGCTGTGGTCGCGGTGGACGCTGCGGCTCCTTGCTAGGCCCTGGGCTTTCAGCTCTCCTGTTGGAGGCAGGGATGGGTGTTCTGCTTTGAGCTTTGGGGGTGCAGATAGGGAGTTGGTGGGGTAGCAAAGCCTCCTCCCTGGAGCCTGGGGGTCGGTTCCAGCGCTGAAGCTGTTTAGAAACCAGATTGGTGTTTTGAGGATGCACCCCCGGATCGCGAGGTCCTAACCCTCCTCTCCTGCGGCCCGGGGCGCCTGGGCGGAGACTCTCCTCTCACATACCCACCCCTTCCGTGGGGAGCCACACCACACGCTGTCCTGTTACTTCTGCTGCGGCCCGGATCCAGTCCCCAGGATGCAGGCCGGGCTGGACCAGCAGCCGGAAGGGGCTTCAGCCTTAGCCGGACGGCCCGAGGCGCAGGGGCGGTGCTGCTCCGGCCGGACGCTGGCCACTGAGGCCTGGGGCGGAGGAGGCCGGAAAGGAGGCCAGGCGGCGGGAAAGGGGGATGATTCATCCCGAGCAGCTGGAATTGGAAACGCTGCAACCCGGGAACAGCCTTGTCCTGGCCGACGGGAGAGCCAGGAGGGGAGTCCACCGGACATGGCCCTGCGCCCGGCTCCGCAGCCCCCTGCCTCCTGCCCTCCACGGCCTGACAGCTGGGGGAGAGGGCGGCCTCTTCTTTGGAGTTTAAAGAAATCCCGGGCAAAGTCTGCCGCTGGTCGTGGTGAGAGCGTCTTCCTGGAGTCTTGCTCAAGTCTCTCCTGCTGCAGCTTCAGTGCTGACTGAGGAGGTCTGGAAGGAGGGGGCGGGCAGGAAGAGGCTGGAGTCAGTGACACCCCCTCCTTCCTACGATGCGGTATATAAAGCGCAGTAGGGGGACGTGGGGCCCGCGAGCCACCTCAGCGGACCCGGGCGGTCTGCGCGCCCCCCTCCCTCTTTTACTACGGTGCAGCCACGTGCGGGGGTGAGGTCGCGCCCGGGCGGGACTTACCTTGGAGACGCCACTGCGGGGGAGCCCCACACCTTCCGAGGCCCCGGCCCCGCGGGCT